AAGAAGAAGACATGCTAACAATCTACCTGGTGCTCAGTGGCCAGAGGCCATCTTTCATATGAAACAGGCACTTCAAAATTTTAGTCATCAGCACCTATAGCTCAAAACTATAAATTTATCTCCAGGGGATCCAGTGATTTCTGGTAGGTGTCTTAGTTTGATTTCTATTCCTGTGATAAAACATCATGACCAAAAGCAATTTGGGGAGCAAAGAAGGATGACAAGGCAGGAACTCAAACAGGACAAGAACAAGGAGGCAGGAACTTCAGGAAATCAAGTGGAGACATTTTCCCAATTGAGGCTCCTCTACCCATTTGACTTTAGCTGTGTCAAGTTGACATAAAACTAAGCAGGACAGAAGGGTAGTCATTTTTACAATATTGGGTCTACCAACACTTAAAGGAGGGAATCTTCTAATATTTTTCTCAATTTCTTTTTAAGGTCTTAAAATTTTCATTGTAAAGATATTACTCCCAAAGGTATTTATTTATTTCTTTATTATTTATTTTGAGTGTATCTATCATGAAAGAGAGTATCTACCTGATTTCTTTTTTAGTCTCTTTGTTATTGGTATATAGAAAAGCTACTGATTTTTGTGTGTTCCTTTTGAATCTTTGAACTCTGCCAGAAGAATTTATCAACTCTAGGAGTTTCCTATGTATATGTATAGATTCATAGCATCTGCAATGAAGGAAGAACACTTTGCCTTTTCTTATTTGTGTCTCTTTTATTTTGTTCTCTATTCTTACTTTTCTAGCTAATTGTTCAAGCTACCGAACAGAATTGAAGAGAGTGGACAGTTTTGTCTTGTTCCTGGTCATCTTGGAAACAATGAGCTTTTCTCTACTTAGTGTGGTGTTAGTGACAGCCTGAATGCACTCTCCACCTCTTGCCTTTCCATGACTTTATCAGGAAAGGATTATAGATTTTGTCAACAGCTTTTCTGCACCTAATGAGATGACCATGTGATTTCTGTTTTTGAATCTGCTTATGTGATAGATTACATCTATCCATGATTTATATATGCTGAACCAACCAGGTATCACTGGAATGAAACTAATGTTATCATAATGAATAAGATTATTTCCTAATATTTTTGAGACAGGGTTTCTCCTTGTACCAGCCCTGGATATCCTGAAACTCACTTTGTAGACCAGGCTGGCCTTGAACTAAAAAAGAGCCACCTTTCTCTGCCTCCTGAATGCTGGACCTAAAGCCATGCACCATCATGCCCAGCAATGAAGAATAATATTTTAAATGAAATTTTGAGTTCAGTTTGTCGGTATTTTATTGACAATTTTTGCATCTACGTTCATCAGAGAGATTGGTTTAAAATAATCTCCCTCTTCCTCCTGCTCTCCTTCCTCATGTTGTTCATGGTCCGGCTCATCCTCCTTCTCTTCCCCCTTTTTTATTTTGTGTCTTTATCTGGCTTTGGTCTAAACATAATGCTGGATAATAAGAATAACATAAAAGATTCAATTTGGAAAGAGTCTTTGAATATTTTTTATTATTGCTATTATTATTTATAACCTATACTAATAAATTATAATACATTTTATTCACTTTGTAGCCCCCTCCCTCATCTCCTGCTGGTCCCAACCTCCTTCTTCTTTCCCCACTGTGTCCCTCCCCTAGTCCACTGATGGGAGAGGTCCTCCCCCCCTACTATCTGACCCTAGCCTATCAAGTCTCATCAAGACTATCTGGATTCTCTCTCACTGTGGCCTAGTAAGGCCACCTAGCCAGAACAAGATCAAAAATCAGGCAACCAAGTTCACCCAGAAGCAGAAAGACACACATGGTATATACTCACTTATAAGTGGATATTAGCGAAACAATACAGGGTAAACATACTAAAATCGATAGTCCTAAAGAAGCAAAACAACAAGGAGGCTCCTAGGGAAGATGTTCAATCCTCATTCAGAAGGGCAAACAGGATGGACATCAGAAGTAGGAGAAGACAGGGAACAGGACAAAAGCCTTGCACAGAGGCCTCTGAAAGACCCTACTCAACAGGGTATTGAAGCAGATGCTGAGATTCATAGCCAAACTTTGGGCAGGGTGAAGGGGATCTTGTGGAAGAAGAGGGAGACAGAAAGACCTGGAGGGGACAAGAGCTCCAGATGGAGACTAACAGAGGCAAAAAAAAGTTCTGACAGGGAACAAGCCAGAATTGTGACACAGAGGACCTCTGAAAGGCTCTGCCCTGCAGACTATCAAAGCAGATGCTGAGACTTATGGGCAACCTTTGGGGAGATTTCAGAGAATCTTATGAAAGAAGTGGGAAAGAATAAGATTTGTACAGGACAGGAACTCCACAAGGAGAACAACAGAACCAAAAAATCTGAGCACAGGGGTCTTTCCTGAGACTGATATTCCAACCAAGGACTATGCATGGAGATAACCTAGGATCCCTGCACAGATGTAGCCCATGGCAGTTCAGTGTCCAAGTGGGTTCCATAGTAATAGGAACAGGGACTGTCTCTGACATGAACTGATCAGCCTTCTCTTTAATTGCCTCCCCTTGAGGGGAGAGCAGCCTTACCAGGCCACAGGAAAAGACAATGCAGCCACTCCTGTGAGACCTAATTGACTAGGGTCAGAAGGAAAGAAAAGAAGACCTCCCCTATCAGTGGACTTGAGGAGGGGCATGCGTGCAGAGGGGGGAGGAAGGGAGGGATTGGGACTGGAGGAGGGAGGGGTTTATGGGGGTATACAAAGTGAATAAAGTGTAATTAATAAAGAATTAAGAAAAAATCTGGGCCCATGGGGCTTGCATAGACTGATGAATCAACCAAGCATCATTCATGGAGAGGACCTAGACCCCCTGATCAGATGTAGGCCATGGGCAGCTCAGAGTCCATGGGGGTTCCCTATTAAGGGGAGGAGGGTTAGTCCCTGGCTTTAAATTTTATTTATTTTAAAGAGACCGAATTTTTTAGAGATTAAGAATTTTCAAGTTACTCAATAGTTTATATTGAAATGTTAATATTAACATGCTATCTTGGGAACAAATGAGAAAGAAAAAGTTCTGGTTGGACAGTGAGATATCTTTGTGTCAAGTTGCCAAGAAGTTAATTGTGCTGTCTTGTTTCATGTCAACTTGACGCAAGCTAGAGTCATTTTGGAAAAGGGGACCTCAGTTGAGAAAACGTACCTATCAGGTTGGCCTGCGGGCAAGCCTATGGTGCATTTTCTTGATTAACTGATACGACAAGGCACAGCTCACTGGGTGATGCCACCCCTGAGACACTGGGCCTGAGTGCTATAAGAAAGAAGGCTGGGCAAGTAAGGGAGAGCATGCCAGTAAGTGGCACTGCTCCATGGTCTCTGCATAAGTTCTGACTTCAGCTTCCTGTCCTGCTCGAGTTCCTGCCCAACCTTCTAGCCATGATAGAGTATAACCTGAGAGTTGTAACCTGAAACAAACCATTATCTCCCCAAGCTGATTTTCTTCATGGTGCTTTGTCTCAGCATTAGAAACCCTAAGACAGACTCCAACTAAGAGGGAGAAAAGAAGGAGGGAAGTTAAGTCAGTAATTTTCTATAGTGAGTTGACTCTATATACATGTATTCCAGGGCTAAAACGGTACTTTAGAGGGAAGAAAAATGTCTCCTGGGATATTAGTGATGTGTGAATGATGAAAGAAGTGTAAAAAAAAAAGTTAAAGGAAGAAGCTCCATTACACATACTTATTTGCAGTATACGTAGAATGCAATCGGATACAGACACTTAAAATGCATCATGGTGAGTTTTACTTGGAGGCCACCATGTAGGGAGGATTGACTTATTTTCCATGACTCCAGACATGTCCCTCCATTCTCCATTACACCATACATCAGGAAATTGCTAGTTGTGTCACTAATCCCATTGATCAGTTTGCACTGCTCAGCAGCTCCTTTCAAATGAAATCATGTATACAGAATGATCTTTGGTCGGGTTTCCTCCCCAGTCTTGTTCTCTGTGAGAGTCACCTGTGACATTTCAGATGTTAGAAACTGGTTGATTATAATGCAGAGAATTATTCAATGGAAAGGTTTAGCTATCGCTGATTTAGCGATGGTTCTCTACTTTGAGTACTTGGAAAAAGCTTAGAAATAATAATGCTATGACCTTTCACAGCTAGAAACATGTTCATAGCTTTCTGGGGACTGCTATCCCTCACTTGAATTAGATAAGAAACTATGCCTTGCAACCTAAATTTTCTTTTCATGACATTTATGTACTCTTACATTCCATAGATTGCATCCATTTGGTTTACTTATTTTAAAATATATTGAGAAAATTTTTCATACAATGCATTATGATTATGGTTCAGCATTCTCCAATTCCTTCTAAATCCTCCACACCTCTCCACCCACCTAGATCTGTGCAAGTTTTCTCTTGAAAAAAAATAAAGTAAGCAATTGGGAAAACAAATAAACTGAAATTTAAAACTACAAAGGAAAAACCCGCATGAGAAACATGTACACACACAAACACACACCATGAAGCCACAAATTCATAAAACATATAAGCAAAAGACCTGTAGCACACACAAAAAAAAGCCCAAACAAAGCTATAATTCTCCCCACAAGATACCTGCTAGAGAAGCAGCTACTGTCTCACTGATGATTTTTTCCTGATGTAATTCATCCTTTTCTCATGTAATATGTGTGCACACATATATACTATAACTCACATCTGTCCTAAAAACCAAAGTTCTTTTTTCTCACAGATATTTTTACATTCCAATATGAGATGCTCTAATACAAATCTATACTCCTTTCTCCAAGTGCCTCCCACTGTTTGCTCTTTCCTGGGGCTACCATAGGCTCTCCAGATGACTGAGCACACAATGCCGGGAGGAGCACAGCATTGTTACCTAACAGCCTCTCTCCTTTTACCTGCCAGAGGTTGGAAAGCTCTTGCCTCACTCTGCCCTCCTCATGCCTTCCTGTGAACTTGGATGTCTTGATGTTGTCTGCCTCCCAGGGGACCACATTTTCTTGGGGCCATGGCTCCCTTCCTCAGGCCATCTACCTGGACTCAGGCCCTCCTGGGAGGTGCTCTCTGTTTATGTGTGCTGTCTGTACTACTGTCTCCTGTCTGTTGTTCCCGTGGCCCACCAAACTGGCGCTTCACTACCTCTGAAGTTGTGATTCCCAGGAAGGTTCCCCAGAGAAGGGGTGGAAGTAATATGCCAGATGAGATCACCTATAGCATGCGCTTTAGGGGACAAAGACACGTGATCCACATGAAACTCAAGAAGAACATGATTCCCGAAAATTTGCCTGTGTTCACTACCAATGACCAAGGAGCTGAGCAGGAGGAGTACCCATTTATTCCTCGGGACTGTTACTTCTACAGCTACCTGGAAGGGGTCCCTGGGTCCCTAGCTACACTAGATACCTGCAATGGAGGTCTTAAGGGCATGATACAGGTGGATGACTTCACTTATGAAATCAAACCACTGGCATCTTCTCCCAAGTTTGAGCATGTTGTTTCTCTGCTAGTGGTGGAAGAAAAGTCACGTAAGTCTAGAAAGTGTAGACATGATGAGGATGTGGCAGAGGTCAGTGAATACCCTGAAGAGATGAAGTTTGCTGGAAGCGCCAGAGCAGCTCCGGTGTATTTGTGGCGTGTGCATAGGAAAAATTTAAGACTGCACTATGTGGTGACTAATGCAGTATACAAAAGGACCTCAAATTTTAGCAAAACAGCTGAAATGGTATTGATTATGAACAGCATAGTAGATAGCATTTATCAGCCAACTGGCATGGGTATCTTTGTACGTGCTATATGTATTTGGTATCAACATGACTCATATAATGTGTATAGATTTAGGAGAGATCCTTGGGCCTTGACGAGCAATTTTGGCATGTGGAAAGTACCCTTTCATAGGGTAATAGAACACTCCATTTCTATTCTTATGACAGGACATAGAGTTGGAAATAGGGATTATCTTAGCAATTCTGGTGGACTGTGCAACCCAAACTGGGGAGTAATGTATCTATATATACATTTCCATCACTTTCTGACTACGACAGTGCTTGCTCATGGAATAGGTCATTTTTTTAAAATGCAGCATGATCTCCCAGGCTGTGTTTGTTTCAGAAGAAGCAGCTGTGTCATGACTGAATTTCCTACTCTTCAGGATATGCTGAGCAATTGTTCCCAAAAGCAAATACATGTATGGGTTCACGGCTGGGATCCGTGCCTGAGTGAGGAACGTGTGCCCTATAACAATTTTAAATATGTCGTTCGTCGATGTGGAGATAAGACTGTGGATGAGAAAGAGCAATGTGACTGTGGTTCCCTGAAAGACTGTATTAATAATAAATGTTGCACAACCACTTGTGAGTATACTGAGGACAGCACTTGCGATGTGGGAGGTTGCTGTAAAGATTGTGTCTTTGCACCTTCTGGAACGAGGTGCAGAGACAAACTTGGTGTTTGTGATCTGCCAGAATACTGTAATGGACTCTCAAACGATTGCCCAGATAATGTTTACATCATGGATGGAACACCCTGCTCAGCAGGAGCAGTTTGCATGAGAGGAAACTGCAGTGACCGTGATTTGCAGTGTCAAGCTCTTTTTGGGTACCAAGTCAAGGATGGTTCGCCAGCATGCTATAAAGAATTAAATCGCAAGGGTGACCGATTTGGAAACTGTGGGGTTAAAAAACTACGAGGAGGGAGCAACACTATCCCATGTCAAGACGATGATATTTTTTGTGGGCTGCTGCACTGTGAAGGTGTCACTCGTATTCCTGGTGGAGGTCAGCATGCTACATTTCATCACATAAAGGTAAAAGATGTTAAAGAACAACAGTGCTTTGGTTATGATGTACACCATGGACTAGATATTCCATTTGTGGGGCTTGTAGTGGACGGTGCAACCTGTGGCCCAGGGAAATACTGTAGAAGACAATCCTGTGTTTTTCATCAAACCTTGCATTATAAGTGCAACATTAGCTCCTGTAGCTTCAGAGGAGTGTGTAACAACAAAGGCAATTGTCACTGTGTGCAAGGCTGGCAACCACCAACATGTGAACAAAGAGGAACAGGTGGTAGTGTAAACAGCGGCCCTCCACCTATCATGGAAAAAATGCTTGAGGTAACCTTAAATGTGACTATAAACAAGATCTTACTTGTTTTAATTACTCGTTTGTTTCTTATCTTGGCTTCACTTCTTTTTGGTGGAATTACAAGAGCCGTGATACTCATAGACAAAGAAGCAGGACAACAGCCTAGTGGACAAGTGCCTGGCGGAAAAGCACCTGGTGAAAAAGCGCCTGATGGAAAAGCGCCTGGTGGAAAAGCGCCTGGTGAAAAAGCGCCTGGTGGAAAAGCACCTGGTGGAAAAGCTCCTAGTGGAAAAGCGCCACGTGGAAAGTAAGTCCATTCCAAACTAGCTGGAGCCACACAAGAAACCAAATCACAGACAAAGAAGCAGGACAACCAATCATAGACAAAGAAGCAGGACAACCAATCATAGACAAAGAGGCAGAACAACCACCTCCTGTAGAGTAAGTCCATTCCATACTAACTGGAGCCTCACAAGAAACAAAATCCATGTCAATTACTACAAGAAATGTTCAATGATTTCCCCTGACAGTTATGTGACCATTCACAAATCTGAGGTTTTCATCTTGAAATAAAATCGCTGGGAAATTAACATTGTGTCTCTGTTAAAATTTGCTCTTTATACATCGTTCTTCAAGTTGCTCTTGCTCTTGCTCTCGCTTGCCCTCTCCTCCCCAGTTCTCTCTCTGTGTATTTATAGAGTGTGAGCGCAGCTGCTTGTGGAGGCCAGCATCAGATCCCCTGGAGCTGGGATTACAGGTGGATGTGGGTCACAGAGCATGGGTGCCGGGGTCTACAAGACCAGCAAGTACTCTTAACTGATCTGTCAACACTTTGGCCTCATAATGTCACATAATTTATCACTTCCTGGGATTTGTTTTGGTTTTAATATTTCTCTTCCTGTTTTGTGGTGCTAAGCAGCACAGCCAAGAACGCAGGGTCATACCCAAGCCAGGCAAATGCACAGCTACTCTACTGTCTCCCAACATTTATCACATTCTTCATACTCCTATATGTAAAATCCATCTTTCAGATATTTTATGAAAAAACCCTGCATATTTATGATGTCTATGTTAGAGCTTTCTAGATGCCTCTGCATTAAAGTTGGTCTGCATCGGTACTGGCTACTGTTACCATTGTGGTGGTCTGTTTGCTGTTGTATTGGATTGTCATCTAGTTTACTGTTAATGTAAAATAACTATGAAGAGAGACATTTATAAATTATATGGATGCATGAATGAAATAAACATTCCTATTATAGATATCTGGAATTTCAGTAGTGCTGCTGAAGTTTGCTAGGAAAAGGGGAAAACTCTGTTCTTTTTTCAAATATCCAGTGATTACACGCAGCATGCTGAGATGAAATACACTTCTCCCAAATTAACAAAATCGATGTCTGTGCCTACAGCAATGCTGGAGTGTTCTAGGTGCTGAATTCCCACACTAGCTTCTACCATTATCTTTAGGTTGTGAACTGTCAAAAACTGTAGTTGCAGAGGAGTGTGTAACAGCAGCAAGCACTGACATTGTCTATGTGGTTGAACGCCACCAACATGTGATCAGAGATGAGTGGGCAGGAGTGAAGCCAGGAGCCCTCTGCTTGCTGGATAGGAGGGCTGTGAGCCAGGGTGTTCAAGGGTGTAAATAAGGCACTCACTCTGATACTTACTTTGCTCTTTTTATGATTACAGTGCTTGCCTGGGGACCTTTTAAAACCAAATGAATGGGGGTGGGGTGGAAAGTAGTAATTCTTTTTTTGTTTTAATTTTATTTATTCATTTTACATCTAGGCCATAGCCCTTCCCTCCTATTTTCCTGTCTCACCCTCCCTCCCTGTTTTTCCCTATACCACCTCCCCTATTCCTCAGGGAAGGAGAGCCCCACCCGCCCACCCACCCATATTGAACATATCAAGTCCCATTAAGCCTGAGCCCATCCTCGCCCCCTGTGGCCTGGCGAGGTAGCTCCACCAGGGAAAAGTAATCAAAAAGCATGCGACAGAGTTCATGTAGAGTCAGCCTCCATTCCCCTTATCAGGCAATCCACATGAGGATCAAGCTGCCCATCAGCTCCATCTCTGTAGGGACCTAGGTCCAGGCCATGCATGGTCCTTGATTGATGTTTCAGTCTCCACATGTCCCCACCCTGGGACCCGGGTACTTGGCTTTGTTGGTCATCTTGTGGAGCTGCTGTCCCCTCTGGGTCCTTCAGTCTTTCCAACCACTCTTCCACAGACTCCCTGCACACACACACACACACACACACACACACACACACACACACACACACACACACAC